CCCTGCAGCCTCTGGTGAAGACCATGGTAAGGCAGGCTGTGCCCCTGCAGGTCCATAGTAGAGCAGATATCCACCTGCAGCTCGTGGAGGTTAATGATGGAGCAGTTACCCACCTGCAGCCCGTGGGGAACCCCACGCTGGAGCAGGGGGATGTGCCCGAAGGAGGCTGTGACCCCCTGGGAAGCCCAGGCTGGAGCAGGCTCCTGGCAGGAGCTGCGGCCCCATGGAGAGGAGCCCACGCTGGAGCAGGTTTGCTGGCGGGACGGGGGACCCCACGGGGGACCCACGCTGGGGCAGTTCATGAAGAACTGCAGGCTGTGGGAAGGACTCATGTTGGAGTTGTTCATGGAGGACTGTCTCCTGTGGGAGGGACCCCACGCTGGAGCAGGAAAAGAATGTGAGGAGGAAGGAGTAGCAGAGACCATGTGTGAGGAACTGACCATAACCTTCATTCCCCATCCCCCTGTGCCACTGGTGGGGAGGAGATACAGAGAATCGGGAGTAAAGTTAAGCCCATGTAGAAGGGAGGGTTGGAGGGAAGGTGTTTTAAGATTTAGGTTTTATTTTCTCATTACTCTGATTTGATTGGTAATAAATTAATTTTCCTCAAGTCAAGTCTGGTTAGCCCATGACAGTAATTCATTAATGGTCTCCCTGTCCTTATCTCAATGCAAGGACCTTTTGTTATATTTTCTCTCCCCTGTCCAGCTGAGGAGGGGAGTGACAGCACAGCTTTGGTGGGCATCTGGCATCTAGCCAGGGGCAACCCTCAGCAGTAGGTAAGAGGTATGTAAACTGCGTGCAAAGGAGGGCACTATTAAGAGTGGAACACTGTTTAACAAGGCATAATTGAGTAAGCATGTGAATATAGGGATCTAAAAAAAACAAAACACCACCACATTTTTCTTGCCATTTTCTTTTCTCCTGCACAGTGTGAAAAGACTGTGCTAGATTGTCCCCTTTATTAGTTCAATCCTCTTTCACTAGTAGTGACTCCACCACAACCTCATTTCTCACAGCAAGTTCTTTTTAGGCTGGAGATAAAGAGGAGTGAAAGGAAGTTCCTGGATGATGGATATGGAAGAGTTTTTTGTGCTGAGCCTGTGTGCCAAGGAGGTGATGGTCACCATGTGTATGTGACTGAGGACATGTGTGTTACTGTTTTGGACACAATCAGGAAAAGGATAGTTGGAGCTTAAAGCCACCACACGTATGAAGTTACTCTAGCCAAAATTAAAGGAATTGGAGGCTGAAACAAGAAGTAAAGCATCGCAATGTCTCAGATAATAGCATCTAGTCCTGAGATGTGTCGGAAGTAATGATAGTCACAGGTTTCAGAGCCAAGCCAAGCACCTTTATCATTATACCTGTGACAAACAAAAGTTGTGTCAAGAATGAAATTATGGGTCCCATTTTTATTTATTTATTTATTTGCCTTTCTGGGATGTACTGAGATGCCACAGGATACAGCGGTGTAAGGAAGTATGAAAACTGAGGCAGGCAGAAAATAAAGAGACCAGAACAGATCAGAAGAGGCAGCAACGACCAAACCACTCTTGCCTAGCATGTATTATTAAGCTCAGGCAGTGTGGAGCAGGCTGACAGGTACTGAGGTCAGAGGCTACCCTAAAAAGTGCTCGTCTTAAGGCCTGTGTCTCGTATATTACTACTAGGATGTGATGCTGGCAGAAATCTCCAGCGTTGCAAGCAGAGCCTGGAAAATGAAGTAACCTCGAAATGAACAGAACCCACTGGCAGGCACAAAAAGAAATACTTGCATTTATGTACTCATTGAAAGTCATCTGGAGTCTCAATCTTGTCAAAATACCTCCCTCAATTATTTGCATTAAAAATGTGATGTTTAGCATAGGGCTGGGTTACTGCGTGATAAATCGGGGACACACATTGCTGTCAGATAGACAGATAACTTCACATAGAAGTCACCATGGTGTTTCTCTTAAGAACTGATGGCTGTTGCTATTTCTGTGGTCAGTTGCTTATCAGGGCCCAAGAGTCAAACCATTTATAAATAAGCTCACAGGAGGAACTAGAATAATGACTGAAATATTGGTCATAAAAGTTGCAAAAGCAGAGCAACAGGATAATGTTGCATAATACATTATTTGATGAAAATGATTTACTCAGCTGAACAGGTTGACTCCTTGTGCACTCAGTATTCCCACTTCCAAACTACTTGCTGCCTGTATCATCATCTGGTTTCTGAGATTCTTAGCCATTACTAAGACATAGTCAAAACTTGCTTGAGAGGAACTACCAAGAACATGCAGTTCTGTAACCGGTACATCTTTGTCAATATACTGCGCAGCACAGAGGCGCCACTATCCCTGTATGTTCTCAATATGTGTGAAATACTGCAGGTACCCAGAACCAAGATGAACCGTATGCGGGCAGTTGAAATGAGGTGCAGATCGCCTGCTTCGGGGCGGGTCTGGTGATGGTGGTGTGAGGTAATAAAATAGGTGGTTGGCTCCAGCAGTGTTCCAGAGCACCTACACAAGGCACCGACACTCCCACAATATAGTCAGGTCAACACAGAGTTAAATGCTCTGAAGTTCAACAGGCAGAGCAACTAGCTTTCTAGAGCTGTCTCCACTTACCTGCTTGGCACTTGGCTACAAATCATCTCTGCTGTCCTTGGAGCTTGGGCTTCTGACCTGTAGTTGTTCATTAAAATACAGTTTGGGGGAAAAATAAAAAATAAAAAATAATTGTTTACATTTCCAACTTCTCATTGTGGAAAATAAGAAACGAAATATTTTGTTCTGAGCTTACCTATTTCTACCTGTTTTAAAACCCAGAGCATGCTGTCCTTTTCCTATCAGCACTGACTCAGGAAACCAGATACCTGTGTTTGCCAATTCTGGAAGGCAAGGCTAGGGAGAAAAGGATATCCAGGAGTGGTCCTACAATGTCCTTTTCCTCTTATTTTTCCTCCTACACTTGCATTTTGCATTGGGAAGTGACTATTACAGCTCCCTTTTATGCCGAATTCATGTCATCCTGTTTGTTTTAGCCATTTTCATAGCACAGGTAACATTCAAGCCCCAGGGGGAAGGGTTGGGCATTTCTCCCCGTGGTTTCTGGATCACAGCAGAGGCTGTGGGGGAGGCCATAGCCATTTGGCTTTCAGGCCAAACAGAGAGGAACATAATAAGTTCTAGGTGTCTATGAGGTTGGTTGGAGGATGTCTGGCTGTCTTTTGCTTCAGTGCCTGGATACTATAGGTTCTAACCAGAGTTTTGGTTGTCTGCTAAACTACCCACTGGCAAAAATTCAGCATGCAAATACTTACCATTCTCACCAACTGTATTTTTTTCCCACCCTATTGCTTAGTTGTTAAAAAGGGACCTTTATGAAAAGAAGTATACCAAATTTAGAGTCATGACTTCTGGGTAATGTATTGCTGTTTGTATCAGCAGTACAAATATTTTTCCAGTAGGACATAGAGATGATTATAAATCAATTGACATGGGAGAGAATGGTCAGTGTTATGGTTTCCAGTTGCCATTTTTCCAGTGCATATTCATTTCAGTTGAGGGCTGATGGAATAGGGGAGATTTTGTCCCAGTGTCCTTTGATTAGGTACTGACGCAACTGTGAAATAAAATCCGTCCCTAATGATACCATGGGACAGGTACCTGAAATATGTTTCTGAAGAAGGAAGAGACTCTACATGGAGAGTGGAAAAAGAGGGTGGAAAAAAAGTGTCAGGCTGTGATAGATCTAATAACTTAGACTTTGAAAATTCTTTACACTATTTTGTCATCCTGATAGCAGATTTCTGTCATTATCAGAAATTTAACATTTAACAAATGGCAAAATCAAACAAACAGTAAAGATGACGAATATTTACTGTACACTTGAAGCAAGAAAACATGAGAAGTTTGAAAGATGCCATGCAAAATCTTGGAAGAAAATAGATTAGTTGTAGATTTCCAAGGGCCAATGGAAAGTGCAATTATATAAATCAAGAAATTTGAAAATTTCCTTTTCACTTTCAGCAATTACTATGCCAACCTGGCCATTTTAATTAAGTATTATAAAAGATCCAAAATGTTTCCAGTTCAAATGCATTCAGCTGCTAGTGTGCTAGAACATTTTTATGATTCATGTTGTTATTCTAATATTTTTGCTAGTTTCTTGGGCGTTGGCCTCAGACTAATTTCATGGTACATTTGAGGTCTAAACCACAGAGAGGAGAGCTGAAGGGGGTTATTCATGGACTTGGCTTTCTACAGGTTCTTCTCTTTTTTTTCTTTTTTTTTTTTTTTTTTTTTTTTTTTTTTTTGCCAGATGTGTTGGGACTGTTTGTAAAAGCCAGCTGTATGATGCTTCTTGTTTGAGCACATGCAGTAGGTCAGAATTTGTCAGTGAAAAGGAGCATTCCTTGTAATCCAAATCCCAACATAAGTGTTTATACTTCTATGACATCATGTATTTCTGGTGTTCAGTATTACAAATAATATTCTAGAAGATCATCTATTTTCCCTGGACTCTCAGTTTTAAGTAAAAAGTGTTAAAGGCTAGGTTTTTCAGTGATGTGCTTGGAATAATACTACTTAAGCATCAGAATTCTGGGAGCAGACATTCACTCCAGCCTCTACTTCCTCTTTGTGCAATGTCCACTTGCTCTAGATTCTCATTAATGTGTTCCTCTGGGTCACTGATTATTTTTTAATAAGAAAATAGGATCCACCATGATCCAGAATTACCACTAAGTGACACCTGGGCCCTTAATCTTTGATGCTGCTCCCATGCAAATTAATGGCAGAGCTCCTGATGATTTGCTTATCATTAGTCAAGACCTCTACAGAACAATTTCAGTTTAAGGAGTTTTAAGCGAATGGGAAAATCCTAAAGTCCCTTCTACACTGAGGCTATGTGCTTACTTTGCAGTAAGTGTTCCTCAAGCTTGTCTAAGTCCCCTGCAATTGTTTGGGGTAACTTAAAATTCCTAATTGTCTGTGTTCAATTTCCAGAGAGAGCATGTGGGGCTGTGCCAGGTCAGCTGTTAACCCTTTTCGTTTTTTCAACTCCAGGTATGAAGCATTTTATTGTGTATTATATAATGTGCTGTTTTATTGACAAAGTCTAGTAGCAGTGTTTTTCGGTTTTCTTTCCCTCTTTATGTCATGGTTGGGGGATATGCGGGGCTGGGCGAGGTCCAAAGCTGATTTTCTGCTATTGCTTTTTATATTTTGGGGCTGGGAGGGTGGTGGTGTGCCTCATGGGAAAGCTACAAATTTATTTTCCAAATCCCAATGGCTAAAATATGAGAATAGAAAGAAAATAACCTGTCTGATATTTGATAATGCAGTTTAAAATGTTCAAAATAGTCTATTGAAATTGAGTAACAAAGTTAATGTGAATCAACATAGTTCATGTTATAATGGGTCATTGCCAGTTACCATGAAACAATCAACAAGCAAAGGTTTAAAATATAGGAAAAGGTGTTTGTAGGCCTCTCCTTGCTTTCTTTTCAAGGAGGCCAACATTTTTAACCCTTACTGTGTAATATGCCTAGTAGATGCCCTGCCTTAGAGTGCAGAGTTTATACACAAATCCAGTGGGGAGGTGACTGGGCAGTTGCAGCGAGCACTGTGATGCTATAACATGCCCTGGGTTCACCTCACTTGCCCAAGTAGAAATGATGTCATATGACAGAAGGGATGTACCAACGTTGATAGGGTTCCTGTTTTTGTTGGATTCATTGCTTTTCTTTTATTGGGTTTTAAAATAGTGTTCAATGAAATGTCCACTCTCAGTGTGCTTGCTTGCTTGTTTGTTTTCCCACCTTCTTTTGTTTGTTTTGTGGGCCCCTAAAAACATTCCTTTGGAGTTGTGTTCATCATGTGACAAGTGTAAACCCATCAACTCACTACTTTATCAGCTCTTAGTAATCCGTGGCCCTCTGTCTGTGGAGTACAGAAGGAAAAACAACTTCACACATTCAGTATAAGCCAATCAGTTGCAGCATAAATCCAGTTCTTCACATTTATAAGTAGAGCTAAGCTTCATAATAAATTTTAGAAGATGGCGTGGTTAAGAGCAATTACACTTTCAAATTGCTAATGAGTAGTCAAATACAGAAACCATTCCTCAAATCTACCCCTATCTCCAATTTGCAGTTAATTGCATTACGACTGATATATTTGTATTAAAAATTTGCAGGATCTTATTACTCAAACATTTTCAAAGTAGCAGCAGCAGCAACTTCTCTGTTAATGCAAATACAAAGCTTTTAAGGTTTCCTGGGGTATGAAATTGAGACGATACATTTATTTTTTTAAAATCCTGAGAATTTTCTTTGATCTGATTGAAGTTATCAATGCAACTTCAGAAATTATTCTGAAGAGCCTACTAGTCTTACAAAATGTTGTGTTTCTAAAATAAATTTCAAATACAATTTTGAATGCAGGCTCCTTTAGCTGAAATTAGCAATAATATTCTATATAATCACCAATTATATTAGGTTCTGTTCTACAGGAAGCATTTTCAAGAAGGCGGCTTAGGTTGTCAATTTTTCACTCTTTTTTAAATATCATCAACAGTTTGCTAAAATTTGCTTATGAATTTACATGTAGAGTTTACGCATACCGTAACAACGAATATGAGATCCTACTAATGAGGCCCCCTGAAAAACATGCATGGTTAAATGTAGATGAAGATGGCATAAGTCATCTTATGTACCAAATTCTAAACCACTGAAAGTTTGTTGGCTCTGACTGGAGTGAGATGAGACTGAAATGTAATGTTTTGGTGAGGCAAATAGCTGCTAATAAAAACAGAAACTTGCAAGAGAGATATAGGGTCTTCTATGTTTTTTTAAAATGAAGGACCAAGTTGTTCAAGAAGGTCACATCTGTCAAAACTCACGTAGGCCATGTGGACTTGTCTGTAGAGTGACAGGTTGAAATGAGACCAATAAGATGAATATTTAAGTCAGTGTATCATTTGAAAGTATGAATTCTTACGGTGTACTTAAAACTGCTCACAGTGCTAGGAGTATTCTTCACAGCTGGTCTTGCTTCTTGGAGTATGGCACTGTTGCAGTTTAGGAACAGTAACCGCTTGTCAGAAGTAAATTCTGCTACAATTAAATACAACTATGTGAGTGTATATATTTTATCTGAGTATAATTTCATGCCTGCTCAGTTTTGGTGTTTTGTTTTTTTGTTTTGTTTTTTTTTTTTTTCCGATTTTGTATTCTAAAGTTATCTTTTTCCACTAAATGTCAATAAAGTTTTTCTTCCATAAAATTACACTCAAAATGTTGGTATTCTAGTTATGAAAATACATTGTTAGATATTTGATTTTTTTTGTGGTGGTGGGGGAACAGAGTGGATCACAAAATCTTGAAGAAACTTTATTTCTTTATTTGTAGGCTTCTTTCCTTTTTTTTGGCGGGGGGGGGAGGGGCTCATGAAATCTACTAAAAGGTATAAGTTTTACTCAAAACCAACTCCACACAAATGTTCTGCATCTCCTGAATTCTGTGGGTAGCCACACGCCAGCACCGTTCATCCAATTCACACATGTCTAACTGTTCTTTTCCTGTAAAATGTTGAGCATTTTGTCCATACTGCCTCCCCTGATTGAGAAGTGCCCTGATCCACCATTTCACTGGTGACAAAGGGATATTATGTGTGAGTTGCAGATGTTGGTGGGCACAACGTGCCTCTTCATCATTGGTGTCTCACAAATGGTACTGCTTTTGCTCTTGTATAATTTACCCCTGTTCTTTTTAACACCTCATTCCACAGGCTTGGCCAGATGAGAGATGTTTGGCAGCTGGAGAACCCAGATGCCAAATTCTGGAATATAGCTTTCCTGCATTGGCGTGTGGGCTCATGGCTGGCTTCTTGGCTTGCACTTCTGCTAGCTTCTTGGCTAGCTGTCTAGCTGGCAGCTGCAGCACTGCCTCTGGGGCTATGTTAGGGTCAAGCTACTATGGAGTTGGATGACTTTCCCAATCTGAATTACCCTGCCGGACACCATTTTTACCTTAGTTTGCTTTGACCCTCCACTATTCAAAGACAAATGTTTTCACTGTTCTGTTTTATTCCTGCCATTTGTAAGACTAACGTGAAGCAGTAGTTCTCATTTGTCACCAGTTCAAAAAGAAAATAAGCATTGAGGAGTACACTGTTTCACTTGTTAGGATTCCCATTCAGTTAGTAGGAATGTAAGCCCCAAGTCTGTACTTGCAACTCACCTCCAGGACCAAATTGTAACTACAGAGCACAGGCTTTAAAAAATGTATATCTAAACCGTGTTTTCAACCGTGAGTGAATCTAATCTCTGTCAAACAGAAAAAATATAAATTTGGGGATACAATCTGGATCATTTTTTAAGAAAAAGGATAAAGACTAACAATGATAATAAATAGGATGTTACTGGTAATAATTAAGAGCACTGCCAGAAGAAAATGCTTGATCTTCTCTTCGCCTGATTTGGAATGTCCTCATTACATACTTTAGTTTTGCCTCTGGTTTTTGTTTTGTTTTGTTTTCATAAATGAGGTAATGAAAAATTAATGCATCTAGGATAGCCAAAGCATTTGAAGTAATTCCCTAATCTACTTCCTTTCCTCCATGCAGCTCAGTGCATAAACATTACTTTCAGTGGGGAAAACTGCAAAATCAAGAGGTCACTAAGACTCTGGTTACTTAAAGTACAGATTAGTCATATCTGCTATGAAATTTTCATTCCCTCACTCAGCTGTAGTGACAGGATGTTGAGCTACACTGGAGACAGTGGTATCTCTGTTACACACTCACAGAACTTCTTTAATGCTTGAGCAAATAGGACTCGTGCCTCACCTGGACACAAGCTTCTGCCTGTATGTTAAGGTTAAGCTTTGCAGGATGAGCTGACCTCTGATGAAGAGCACCTGAATTCCCCATTATAATCACGGGAGACAAGTGCATGTCTCAGGAGTAACCAGAAAGGAGACCCTACCCATCTAGTTTAGGTGTATACCCCTTTTTGCTGGTGGTGTAGGAAGTGTAAGTGCTTCCATAGGAATACAGCCCAGTTACATTGGATAAGTCATTATGGACTATACAGGGAATCAGTAAGAAATAAAAGCATGTTTCACTCAGAGGTAGTCCACATAGCCCTTTCTGGATGATAACGGAGCAGAGATGATTGTTTTGAAAAGCAAGCTGATGGCAGCAACGGCAATATTCCCACCTTTGCAGGGGAGCCTTAACTAGCTTGTCAACAGAGTGGGAGACCTGAGGTTTAGGTTCTCAGCACAAGCCTCACAGGGGTGTTTTAATCATTGGGGTCCGTGGCAGAGGCCTAGTCAGATGAGATACTTGGGGAGCAGTGGAGTTTCTCATCTCCCTTCATGCAGCATGTGGGCCATTTTGTGGGCAGGAGCACAGAAGTCAGGGGATGGGAAGGAAAGTGGGTAGGAAGAGCCTGAATCCTACCTGAGCGTGGGCAGGACTGGGACTGTATGTTCCATTCCCTGGAGCAACATTAGGCAAGAAACAGCCATGGGTACTGAAATAGAGCTTTTACAGTTCCCCTCTAAGAGCTGAGTGTCCAGATTTCTGGTATGGAGCCAGGATCCCCCTTTTCTGCCCAACATTTTCACCTCATGGTTCTTCCATCCCTGGTTGCAGAGTAGCCTCGCTTCCATGGATACTCACGCAGAAGACCCTGAGTCCCTATAACCAGGTTATTCCTGGGGTGATGGAGTTGCTAAATCAACGTTCTGTCTGAGAAGGACCTACAACCAAAGTCTCTCCTTCCCTGGGTGAATTACCTGACTCAAGGCTACAGCACAACACCTCACCAGTGCCTTCACCATCAAAAAAACTCCCTGCCTTCTGAGCCTTCTTCACAAGACAAAGTTCAGGACATTGCCCTGCCTGTACATAGAAAATGGGCACCTAACAGAACAAGTATGTGTAAACATACACCTTGTGGTTTGTATTTGAAGAAGCTCCAGCTTACCAGTGAAGGACCTCTTGAGTTTAGGGACATGCTGGGTAGGACTGTTCATGGGACAGTGGGTGGGAGTGCA